CTGTAGAGCTATCGTGTGCAGATCTGCAGCTTTTCTGAGTCTAAGGTTATAGTTAGATGACTATCCAGGAAATTGAGAAATGATCAGGCTAATTGAAAAAATAATAATTTCACTGCCACATCCCACAACAGAATTTTGTCTGAATTAAAATCAATTTAATCCATGGTTTGGATTTAATTTTGGTTTTTAAAGTGGGAGGATAGAGAGAAAGAGGAAATAAGTATCTGTGGCATGCCGGGTGCTGTGAAGTCTTTAGAGCCTGAGCTATTAACTAGTACTCAATAGCATTTTATGCAGGCCTCATCTGCTGGTCCAGCTGCATAGCATTAATCTGTGTGTTTTGCCTTCAGTGAAAGGTGGAGGTGGTGGAGGCAGATTAGGTGTAGAGAGGTTAATCAATGCATCCCCAGGGTTCCACTGACATTTTACTAGCAGCAGGAGGCGGTTTCCAGCTCTCATTTGCCTTTCTCCCTCAGTCCCTTCATTTTTCTCTCTCTCATTGTCTGTCTGTCACTCTGATTTCTTTCACACCCCCTAAATTCTTAAAATAGCTAATTTATGTTCGTGATCTTCTCTCTGCACTTTATATCCTCACCGTGCTCTCAGTAGAGCATGGTATCTTTGCCCTTCCAGGTCTGGTCTGGGCTATTTTCTGCTATGGCGATGGGTGGGCCTTACTTATCTCAGTATTTACCAAACAGATTGAAGACGGTGCCTGTACCCACATGAAGGCCAGCTTGCAGCTAGGAGCTGAGGGAAAGACAGAGAGCGAGGATGGCCCATACCCAAAATGCCTAACCTGTCACAGACCTGCACCCTCCGGTCAGGCACGTGTGTGTGACGGAGATAGAGGGAGAGTGAGGAACCAAGAGTGGGAGAAAAAACAGGGATATCACAGAAAAATACATGCGCGTACACGCCATGAACATGCACACACATATGCAGCCTCTAGTGCTCCAAAGCCTGGTGAGTCACCCTACTTAAAGCAAGCCCTGAAATAGACATTTTGCGCCTCGCCACACTGACTCAGTAACAGAACTATCTTTTCTTCATGCTCTTGCTAATAAATGGACACTCTCTCAGCTACTGCTTTCCACTAGCACACATTATATATATCCCCTTACAATTTTCTAGGACCAATTTGATGCGGTGTCCTCCATGTTCTGCTTGAATAAAAGGTAACGGGAGCTTGTTTGACTTTTTGTGCAGTGCCCCATTACTCTGCCCTACAGCAGGTTACAATGTTTCACAGAATATGAGTCATTTCTCATCACTTCAGTGTGTGCGTTTGGATAAAAAAAACCCCAAAAACCATGTGACAGAGACCTCCTGCTCCGAGTTGGCAAGACAACCATGCGCCTGTCTAATTCGACATAAGCATTAGCGTAGCTCAGCAGTCCGAGTCTTGATAGCAGTACACACCGGTAGCATGTTGAGTCTGTTTGTGTGTGCGCAGCTTGTTAGTGTTGCTCCACATGTGTAACGGCACTGGACGCAGGGCCGAGAGACCTAAACTGATCTCTAAGACCCCGGCAACACCTGTCCACTCTGGCACTGCGTATCTCCTCGCCACAGTTACAGCTGCCATGGTGGCAGGACTGGGGTTGCCCTGGCAACAGTCTGTTTCTCTGGCAGGGATTACAGTAGCTCAGAGCTGCTAAAGGACTTTCGTAAGATGGAGTGGGAATTGTGGAGTGTTTGGACATTTTGTCATAATTAGGGTTTTCACCTCGAGGAATTAGCAAATTTGCAAAAGTGACTTGGTTTTGCAAAATCCTTAGATAATTTCTGAAATAATGAAAGACAGTAGGGCTTCACTGCATCCCATTTTTATTATCACTCAAAACGAGAAAGGGATAATGCCCAACAAATTCTGACTTGCTATAACTGCGAGGCAAAGCTCTGCTGATTCTCATTTAGAAGCTATTTATCATTTTTTAAGGTTGTTATTATTGGTTATATAAATAACCCCAGTTCCAACATCTCCAGCTTAGCTCAGCTCAGGCTCTCTATACATACAAATTAATGCCGGGGGGAAAGCAATTTAGAAACACCAGCACCCAGAAATCCAAGTTCTACTTGTTACACTTCCTTATAATAATGTTACTTTTAGAAGTGTTTTGTGACATTATAACACTAAAAAACACCCAAAATTGCAAAATTACTGCCATTAAAAGGACATTTGTAACATTAATACATTTATGCCATTAAAAATAAACATGAAACAAAAGTTTACTGTTATTGAAATGGATCTTGTTACATTATGAGGTCCATTAAAAATGAACTTGTAATAACAGAAAATTATTGTCATTAAAATGGAACTTGTTAATTTACAAGTTTACTGGCATTAAAAATCAACTGCAAATGATAATACACATTACAGCCTTACCTGCAGAGAATTACTCATTAACATATTTTTGCCTTATCATAAATGAACACTGTTTACATCAGGTTTTGCAGTTTCAGTGAGAGTATATCCTATCATCTATGCCATGTATTCATTTTAACTCGTTTCATATCAAGCTGACACTGGTAGCATTTCCTCCACCACAGCACCAATAAGAGACTGACATCTTTAGCCACACTAAAAGCTAGCCATTGCTTTTTCTGAGCTGTCAGTGGCCACCGGTGTGTGTTTAGCTAGCAGATATCACAATGATTTGTGTTTACTCATAACTTTGCCAGGGCCCGTTTTAAAAAAAACTGGTCTCTCTGAATCTCCCTGGCTGAGCTACACAGTCATCTTGACACTGGGGTTGGTATGGTAAAAAAAATTTTACTGTGAGGGATGGTACATCTGAAAAAGTAACTAAACTACAAAAAACAAAAACACTAAAGGATACTTTTCTCTCTGCTCCATCTTTCCTTTTCATCCTTTTTGGCCTTGTCTGCATAAAAGCAGTTAGACAGTGAGCTCCTGTGTGCCAGGGATCATACTATGCGAGTGAGAAATATTTGTGACTTTTTTCTCGTGAAGTGCTCGTGAAGTTAACTGTTCAAAAGAATTTAAGGCTCTGTGCTCCTGATCGGCTGCCCACCACTACTAACACTAAAATTATAATATTTCAACAGGCGTGTATAAGCCGAGCATCCATGTAACAAATGATTTAACTGTAAAACTGTGACAAATTACCTGTGGTGTATGATAGCAGCCTTTACTGCATACAGCTGCAGGAAAGCTCATTGGAACTGAGCTGTCATTTTTATCCATACCAGGCTTTTTCTATGAATGAACAAGATGTTGATTTGCATTTGTTGTGGCCAAAGAGCTTTGGGCGGCAGAAAAAAGGAGAGAAAGAAAGAGAGAAAGAGAGAGAGAGAAACTCAATTCCTAAAGGGGCTGATACTCACGCAACAGGAGGAACTGTCAGAAACAACTCACGCACTCACGTCTTCCCTGTTCTCTGTTTCCTATGCCCTGCAGCTGTTCTTCTGCTTAGCATGAGCCAAATTTTAAATGACAGACGTGTCTGTGCTGGCTGCATGAAAGAGGGATGTTTGTGACAGTTGCTCCTGCATCTGAAGGGCTATTGGACCGGTGTTTGGAAAAGGTGCCTCCTTAATAGTGACCATAACGCTTTACGATAGAAATATGGATAGACGACTTGATGGCTGAAAAAAGTACACTTTAAGTATTAAAACAGCATCCTGTTAGTATTGATGGATAGGAAAAAAATATATTCGACAGATTTTGGGGAAAACAAAAGAAATTCATTTAAGGATATGTCAGTATTCGCCGGAAATACATATATATATATATATCTGATATATAAGTCAGAGGTGTCAAGGTGCCCTTGCGCATGCCTGCCTCCCAGCAGCTCCACATCAGCTGTTCCCTAACCTGTGTACAGAAACGCGGTATTAAAAAATTGCTTCTTTGTGTGGGTGTATGTGATTCTTTTTTTCAATAGTCCGGGTTTGCTTGACATGCCAAAAAGAAATAAATAAGAAAAAAAAAATCAATGCAGCTGAATTGAATTGTACCAAGAGCCCTCACAAATGTATTTTTAGGGCTTCACACAAACAGGTTTGAAAGAATCAATACTGTGTAACAAATGTCATTTGAGTGCTGTGCCTAATGCTAAATCAGTAATTGATGTAATCTGGACTCACAGGTTTACGGAGACCATAGAAAAACCACAAATTCTGATACGTGTATCAGAATCACAGACACACACAGGAGGGACACACGTATCTACTATTTTCCTCCCTTGGGTCATACATGCTATTATAATGTGCAACATTAAGGTCAGCGGTAGACAGGAAATTTCACAGCAACAGGAAGCTGGGTTTAGCTGGAGGGAGCATACTGATTGGAGAGTTCTTGTTCAGTCATCCATAAAGATCTTTTTTTTGATAGAGCCTCACTACTGAGGAGTGACATGCCAGATGACTCCATAAAATAGGACATCCGATTTGGTTGCTCATCTTATCCTCTGGTCGACCGTATACCGTTCTCAGTTCGGTGCATTATTTTCTGTGAAACTTCAAAGAAATCTGTTTCAAATGCTCTGAAATCATGAATTTTTCCTGCGGGCATCACTAGACTAAGACTGAGCGCTGTGAGCTGCTAAATCCAGCTTTCTTCTAGCTCAGCATACTGTTGCTAGACTGATTCATAAAGTCATTTCACCCAATCCTACACCTTTACGTCATCACGATTTTCCAACTAGTCCCTTTTCAGCCTATAGAATGAGGAAAACCAAA